GCTTCCCGGGTTCAAGCAATTCTGCCTTAGCATTCCAAGTAGCTGGGATTATAGGTGCCTGCCTCCACATCCAGCTGATTTTTTTTTTCTTTTTGATATTTGTAGCAAAGACAAGGTTTTGCCATGTTGGCCAGGCTGGTCTGGAACTCCTGACATCAGTTGATCCATCTGCCTTGGTTTCCCAAAGTGTGGGATTACAGATGTGAGCCACCACACCTGGCCTGCATTTCAGTTTCTTCGTTTTGTTTCCTCTCTAGTTTTCTTCTCCTTCTCCTTATTCCTTTTTCTCTTCCCCCTCATCTTCTTCCTTCTCCTTCTTCTTCTTCTTCTTCTGAGACAGGATCTCACTCTGTCACCCTGGCTGGAGTACATGGCTCACAGCAGCTTTGACCTCCTAGGTTCAAGTAATTCTGCCTCAGCCTCTCATGTAGCTGGACCATGGGTGTGCACCACTGTGCCCTGCTTATTTTTATTTTTAGTAGAGATGGGTTCTCACTTTGTTTGTCAGGCTGGTCTTTAACTCCTGGGCTCAAGCGATCCTCCAACTTCAGCCTCCCACAGTGCTGGGATTACAGACATGAGCCCCCACACTGGGGCTCCTCTCTAGTTTCATAGGAACATTCTTCTGGGGATTAGTCTAACCTTGTTTGGCTGACTTCAGGAGAATGGGATTTGTCTTAGTCTGTTTGGCCTGCCGTAAGAAAATCGGGCTGGGTGTGCTGGCTCATGCCTGTAATCCCAGCACTTTGGGAGGCTGAGATAGGCAGTTTAGTTAAGGTCAAGAGTTCCAGCTCAGCTGGGCCAACATAGTGAAATCCCGTCTCTACTGGACATGGTGGCATGTGCCTGTAGTCCCAGCTACTTGGGAGGCTGAGACAGGAGAATCGCTGGAATCTGGGAGGCAGAGGTCGCAGTGAGCTGAGATTGCACCACTGCACACCAGCATGGTGACATATTGAGACTCCTTCTTAAAAAAAAAAAAAAGGGAAAATTGTATAGATTGGGAGGCTTGTAAACAACTGAAGTGTGTTGTTCCCGAGGCCGAGAAGACCAAGTTCAGGCACTGACAGATTGTCCTAGGTGGCTGTCTTTTCCCTGTAGTCTCATAAGCAGAAGGAGTGAGGGATCTCTCTGGGGTTCTATAAGGGCACTAAACCCATTCATGAAGGCTCACTGTCATAACCTCATCATCTTCCAAAGACTCCACCTTCTAATGCCTTCACCTTGGGGTGATGACTTTTGCAGGGGGATGCAGATATTCATACCATGGCAGGATTTATTTATGCCAAGACTAAGACTGCCCAGAAAGGTGGCCAGGGCATCCCCAGAGGCACAAAGAAGACCATGGTGATGACAGGCTGTGATATGGAGCCAGGGAGAAGTGAATTACTGCAGACCAGGCATCTGAGTGCCAGTTCTGGGGCAAATTAACCTCCTCCCACGTCCCCCTCCCAGGCTGGAGGTGACTCTTCTCCACGTGGCATTGGGCACAATGGTAACCCATTTCCCACCTCTGCCTTAGAAACTGGAGCCCCTGCAGCCACTCATATGTATCTCTGTACCCGTATCCTCCACCCTGCCAAAAATACTTGTGTTCCGTTGCAATGAGGGTGTAGTGGCTATTGTCTGTGTGTGTCATGCTTATAGTAATGTTAGCTTACCACTGACTAGGTCCAGGGCTAATCACTGCAAATTTCATTCCCTCTTTATTTAAAAAAACCATTTTTTTTGGCCAGATGTGGTGGCTGACGCCTGTAATCTCAGCACTGTGGGAGGCCAAGTGGGTGGATCACAAGTTCAGGAGTTCAACACCAGCCTGACCAACATAGTGAAACCCCATCTCTACTAAAAATACAAAAATTAACTGGGCATGGTGGCTCATGCCTGTAATTCCAGCACTTTGGGAGGCTGAGGCTGGTGGATCACCTGACATCAGGAGTTCGAGACCAGCCTGGCCAACATGGTGAAACACTGTCTCTACTAAAAATACAAAAATTAGCTGGGCGTGGTGGCAGGCACCTATAATCCCAGCTACTCTGGAGGCTGAGGCAGGAGAATCGCCTGCACCCAGGACTCAAAGGCTCCAGTGAGCCAAGATTGCACCACTGCATTCCAGCCTGGGTGACAGAGTGAAACTCAGTCTCAAAAAATCAAATAAATAAATAATAAAAAATAAAGGTCAATCTTTTAAAGAATTAAAATTAGTTTTATTCAGAAGTCTTACTGAAGATGATAGACGGATACGTGTAGCCCAGTAGCTGTTCTATCTGACTGCTCTAAGGCAGTGCTTCAGCTCCTAGCTCATACACAGGCAGTAGGGGTTCAGAAGGTGCAAAGTCACATCAGACCTGCTCAGAAGTTACATTAAAGTAGAACCACATCAAGGTTGAGTGTAAGAGTCCATCCGATTACAGATTAGAGGCTTATCACCAACCTTGTAAGATGTTATCTTATGTGCAGCAAAAGGCAAGGCTCAGTTTACACATGTTTTAAGGAATATACTGACTCAGACAAGAGATGGCTGGGGTCAAGTTCTCTATCCTGTTTTGTCTTCAAGTATCTTTCTGGAGAGTTACACGTTGTCAGCCAAGGGGCTTTGTGAAATGGCAAGCAGAAATGAGCAAACAGGGATTCTAAGGTTTATTACTTTGTCTTATACCTGTTATGTCTGGCTTCTTCTTCTTCTTCTTCTTTTTTTTTTTTCAAACAAAGTCTCATGGTGAGGTCTCGGCTCACTGCAACCTCTGCCTCCCGGGTTCAAACAATTCTCCTGCCTCACCCTCCCAAGTAGCTGGGACTACAGGTGCCCGCCAACATGCCCAGTTAATTTTTCTATTTGTTTTAGTAGAGACGGGGTTTCACCATCTTGGCCAGGTTGATCTCCAACTCCTGATCTCAGGTGATCTACCTGCCTTGGCCCCAAAGTGCTGGGATTACAGGCATGAGCCACCGTGCCCAGCCTCTTTATTTATTATTATTATTATTTTATTTTATTTTATTTTTTGAGACTGAGTTTCACTTTTGTTACCCAGGCTGGAGTGCAATGGCGTGATCTCGGCTCACCGCAACCTCCGCCTCCTGGGTTCAGGCAATTCTCCTGCCTCAGCCTCTTGAGTAGCTGGGATTACAGGCACGCGCCACCATGCCCAGCTAATTTTTTGTATTTTTGGTAGAGACGGGGTTTCACTATGTTGACCGGGATGGTCTCGATCTCTTGACCTCGTGATCCACCCGCCTCGGCCTCCCAAAGTGCTGGGATTACAGGCTTGAGCCACCGCGCCCAGCCTATTATTATTATTTTTTGAGACAGGGTCTTGCTTTGTGGCCCAGGATAGAGTGCAGTGGTGCGATCACAGCTTACTGAAGCTATTGCACTCCAGCCTGGGTGACAGAGTAAGACTCCATCTCAAAAAAAAAAAAAAAAAAAAAAAGCCAGCCAGGGTGGCTCGTGTCTATAATCTCAGCACTTTGGGAGGCTGAGGTGGGTGGATCATGAGGTCAGGAGTTCAAGACCCGCCTGGCCAACATGGTGATATCCTGTCTTTACTAAAAATACAAGAATTAGCTGGGCGTGGTGGCATGTGCCTGTAGTCCCAGCTACTCGGGAGGCTGAGGCAGGAGAATTGCTTGAACCCAGGAGGTGGAGGTTGCGGTGAGCCGAGATTGCGCCATTGCACTCCAGCCTGGGTAACAAGAGTGAAACTCTGTCTCAAAAAAAAAAAAAAATTCCCTTAGGTAGTGCGTGGTGGCTCATGCCTGTAATCCCAGCACTTTGGGAGGCCAACACAGGTGGATCACCTGAGACCAAGAATTGGAGAGCAGCCTGGCCAACATGGAGAAGTGAAACCTTGTCTCTACTAAAAGTACAAGAATTAGCTGGGCACGGTGTTGTGGCCCTGTAATCCCAGCTACCCAGAGGGGATGCTGGGAGAGATAGGGGATGCTGGGAGAAATGAGGAGATGCTGGGAAAAGCAGGGGATGCTGGGAGAAATGAGGATATACTAGGAGAAGTAGGGGATGCTGGGAGAAATGAGGAGATTCTGGGAGAAACAGTGATGCTGGGAGAAGTAGGGGATGCTGAGAGAAGTAGGGGATGCTGGGAGAACTAGGGGATGCTGGGAGAACTAGGGGATGCTGGGAGAACTAGGGAATGCTGGGAGAACTAGGGAATGCTGGGAGAAGCAGGGGATACTGGGAGAAGTGGGGGATACTGAGAGAGATGGAGAATACTGGGAGAGATAAGGAATGCTGAGAGAAGTAGGGAATGCTGGGAAAGGAGGGGAGGGTGCCCTACAGGGCACCCTGCATGGATTCAGCATTCCTTCTCTCCATTCCCCTGTCCTCTGTTTATATGCTACCTCAGAGGCTGATTCCTTATTTATTAAAAAAATTTTTTTTAAATTGTAGAGACAGGGTCTTGCTATGTGTCATAGGCTGGTCTTGAACTCCTGGCCTCAAGGAATCCTCCCACCTCAGCCTTCCAAATTGCTGGGGTTATAGGTGTGCCCCATTATGCCCAGCCTGATTCCTTCTTTTTCTTCTTTTTTTATTTTTGAGACAGAGTCTCACTCTATCACTCAGGCTGGAGTACAGTGGTGCGATCTTGGCTCATGCAACCTCTGCCTCTCGGGCTCAAGCGATCCTCCCACCTCAGCCTCCTGCATAGCTGGGACTACCCTGCCTGGCTTTCTTTTTTCTTTTCTTTTTTTTTTTTTTGTATGTTTAGTAGAGATGGGGTTTCACTATGTTGTCCAGGCTGTTCTCCATCTAACCTCAAGTGATCCGCCTGTCTTGGCCTCCAAAAGTGAGGCGTGAGCCACCACCGCCATCTGGCCCTAATTCCTTTTTATCAGAAGCCAGCCTCCCACTAGGTTTCCCAGCAGCCCCAGGTGGGGTGGGGACAGTGGGAATGAAAGGCTATCTTCTCTTATCTGGGAGGGGCCTTCTCATGATCCTAGCAGAACCAAGGATGCCTCTGTCCAACTGGCTGCCTCACCGGTAGACAAGGAAACTGAGCTGCCAGCCCCAGGCAGAGCACAGACAAGTTTGGCCTTGGGGAGACAGAAGGACAAGGGACCATAGATTTTCCAGCTTTAGAAGAAGTAAAGATGGCAAACCCATCCATGGTGAAGTGGAATTGCTCCTCTCTAGGCCCAGCAGCTCTGGGCTACAGCTGGAGTGGCCTGTCCTGACAAGCTCAAGGTAGGGCATGCAACCCCTGTGTTCAGACTCTGAAGTTACAGAGGACTCAGGTCTCCCCCGTCCCGTGCGAGATCCTCATGGTTGCTGTGAGCCGTGTAAGGCCAGGCTCCTTTGAGCTCACAATCAGGCTTTTGAGCTGCACAGAATTGCTGGGTTGGGGGAATGTGGTCTTTTCCTTTGCCTTCAGACTATTGTGGGGATGTAAAGTTACAGCAAGAACATGACTGTTAGACTTAGATTTCGTATTTGCTCCCCTACTTGCTAGTTGTGTGGCTTTAGGCAAGTTGCCAAACTTTCTGAGCTTTGGTTTTCTTATCTTTAAAATGAGGGTGAGCCGGGAGCTGTGGCTCACACCTGTAGTCCCAGCTATTCAGGAGGCTGGGCTCAAAGAACACTTGAGCCCAGCAGGTTGAGGCTTCAGTGAGCCATGGTCATGCCGTTGCACTACAGCCTGGGCAACAGAGTGAGACCCTGTCTCAAAAATAAAATGAGAATGAGAATCCCTAGCTTTGGAATTGATGTGCTGTGTGTGTGAGGGGGTGTAGCGGTAGTAGGGAGGGAGGATTAAATGACATAAAGTAACATTAACTATTAATTAACTAGTTAATTAATTTTTAGAGATGAGATCTCCTTATGTTGCCTAGGCTGGTCTTGAACTTGTGAGCTCAAGGGATCCTCCTGCTTCAGTCTCCCAAGTGGCTGGCACACTAGGTATGCACCATGCCCAGCAGATTATTGTTATTGTTGTTGTTATTCTTATCCCTTTTCCCTGTAGTTATTTTATTCCGGCAGAGGTAGCCCCAGCTTTGTCCCAGGGGCCACTCCCAGCATCACGGTCCCCAAACATCCCTGAAATAAGGCAACACCATCCCTGTGGCCTGCCCCCTGCCCTGAGTGGGAGCCCTGGCCGTTTTCCTCTCATTCTGCTAGTTTCCAGTGAGTATCTCCTATGTGACCACAGAGCTGTGCCCTGTGACTGACATCTGCGCTGTAGTTCCATTGGAGAAAAAAAGACCAAAAAAAAAATCAGTGCAAAAACAAGTAAATGTAAGAGACAGTTCTCAACCAGATGGAAGATTAGACAGTTTGGAGAGAAATGCCATAAAACATGTTCAAATTTAGATACAACATAATAAATACACTATGTATTTATTTATTTATTATTATTATTTGGAGACAGTTTTGCTCTTGTTGCCCAGGCTGGAGTGCAATGGCACGATCTTGGCTCACTGCAACCTCCCGCTCCTGGGTTCAAGTGATTCTCCTGCCTTAGCCTCCCAGGTAGCTGGGACTACAGGCATGCGCCACAACACTTGGCTAATTTTGTGTTTTTAGTATAGACAGGGTTTCTCCATGTTGGTCAGGCTGGTCTCAAACTTCCGACCTCAGGTGATCCACCCGCCTTGGCCTCCCAGAGTGCTGGGATTACAGATGTGAGCCACCACACCCAGTCTATTTGTTTTTTAGAGGCAGAGTCTCACTCTATCACCCAGGCTGGAGCACAGTGGCATGATCTTGGCTCACTGCAGCCTCAACCTCCTGGCCTCAGATTATTTCCCACCTCAGCCTCCTGAATAGCTGGGACTACACAGCTCTGCCCCACCGTGCCCAGATAATTAAAAAAAATTTTTTTTTTGTAGAGACAGGTTCTCGTCCTGTTGCCCAGGGTGGTCTCAAACTCCTGGGCTCAAGTGATCCTCCTGCCTTGGCCTCCCAAAGGGCTGTGATTGAGGTGTGCACCACTGCAACTGCCTGATTCTTTTTATTGCTGAGTAGATTCCATAGTATGGACATACCACAATTTTTTCTCTGATTGATACATGTTAGCAGGAAAGACATGCCAGCCGTTGACTGTGGCCTGGCTGTGTTAATTGCTTTAATTAGCACAATAAGGCAGGTGCTGGACTTCAGTGGGGCTGATGTTCCAATGGAGGAGAAAGATGTGAAATTATGAATGAATGATTGATTGTTTCATTACAGTTGCCCATTGCTTTGGAAGGTGTAACAACAAATCTGACCATGAACCAGAATAGCAGAGCCTGTAAGCCAGGCCCTGGGAGAGGCAGGGATGTCCCCGCCAGCATCCTTTGAAGAGCAAGACTTGAACCCAAAATAAAAAAAATGTGAGGCCAAACCTGGGGACAAACCTTTGCAGACAAAGAGGCCTTGTGTGCTGTGCCCAAGACAGTCCTCACAAGTGGGGACGTCTTCAAACATGCATTTCCCCTACATCCCTGGCTCCACCGCGTTTGAGGAGGAGCTTCTCAAGTTCCATTGTTCAGATGGGTAAATTGAAGCCTGGAGAAAGGAAATGATTTGTTCTCTAGGTCCCAAGTCAGGAAGTGGAAACCAAAACCAGGCGTTGGGCAGCCTGGGGGTGTCTACCCAAGTCTCCACAGTCCATGCTCTGTCTGCCAACACAGTTGAAACAAAGATGACTTGTTCACCAAGAATTCCATTTTCCCCATTGTTCTCCACTAGGGCCATTTCTGAGTTAGTAAAAAGGGAACGGGTTCAGCCCCAGTCCCTGGCAGTGGATCAGCCATGCCCGGTCCAGATTGGACTCGAAAAGTCAGGAGACAGAAAGGAGTTAGGCGAAGTCTGATAAGGAGCTCCTGGCCTGGTGCCCAGGCACGAAGTGATGTGCAGGATACTTCCAGTAGGCTAAAGGAAGAGCGGGGACCGAGGGCCTGGGGGCATAAAAGGCCCCTTGGAGAGGCTGGCATCCTCCTGCGGCTCAAGGGCTGAAGTCAGAAAGCCTGGGGGTGTGTGTGCATGTATGTGTGTGTCGGAAGGGTTCTGCTGCTAGTGGGGGAGGGGGCAAGGCCTCACGGAGCCAGGATTAGGCTGGTGGGGGAAGGGAGAAAGATGTTCTGCTTATTGGAAACAGGAGGTGCAAAGGGGCGGAGGTGTCAGTATTAGGGAGAGGGGTGAGGACTGCAGGGGTGGAGACCTGACTCCCTGGAGATCCTGGGTCTGTGGAGCAAAGGATCCCGAGGGCCTTGCCCTGTGAGAGGGGAAGGCCATCTCTCCCATGGGCAGAGGGCTGTCCTGAGCCTCTGAGGACAAGTGTCCCCTTGGGAAGTTTAGAAGAGCCCAGGACCCTCCTTCGCATCAAATGCAAGTGTCCACTTCTATGTGATTCACATTTTTTTTTTTTTTTTGAGATGGAGTTTCGCTCTTGTTACCCAGGCTGGAGTGCAATGGCGCGATCTCGGCTCACCGCAACCTCCGCCTCCTGGGTTCAGGCAATTCTCCTGCCTCAGCCTCCTGAGTAGCTGGGATTACAGGCACGCGCCACCATGCCCAGCTATTTTTTTTGTATTTTTAGTAGAGACGGGGTTTCACCATGTTGACCAGGATGGTCTCGATCTCTTGACCTTGTGATCCACCCGCCTCGGCCTCCCAAAGTGCTGGGATTACAGGCTTGAGCCACCGCGCCCGGCCGGATTCAGATTTTTAAAAAACATTTTTATTGTGGTAAATACATATATGAAACATAAAACTTACTATTTAAGCCCTTTTTAAGTGTGTAATTCAGTCACATCGGTGCATTCACTGTGTTGTGTAATCATCACCGCTATGCAGTTTCAGAACCTTTTCATCATCCCAGATGAAACTCTACCTATTAAACAACTCCTCTTCCCTCTTCTCCCCAGCCCTGGAAACCTCTATTCCACTTTCTGCCTTTATGAGTTAGCCTTTTCTCGATACCTCAGTTTATACGCAATTTAAGAAAACAGCTTATTGAGGTTTTTTTGTTTGTTTGTTTTTTACAATGAGATTCCTTCCTCCCTTCCTTCCTTCCATGGAGTCTCACTCTGCCACCCAGGCTGGAGTGCAGTGGTGCAATCTCAGCTCTCTCAACGTCCACCTCCCGGGTTCAAGCAATTCTCCTGCCTCTGCCTCCCAGGTAGCTAGAATTACAAGTGCCCGCCACCAAGCCGGGCTAATCTTTTGTGTTTTTAGTAGAGATGGGGTTTCATCATGTTGGCCAGACTGGTGTTGAACTCCTGACCTCAGGTGATCTGCCTGTCTCAGCCTCCCAAAGTGCTGGGAATATAGGCATGAACTATCATACCTGGCCCTTTTTTATTCCCCCCGGTTTGTTAACGTGGTGAATTACAATGATTGATTTTGTTTTTGTTTGTTTTTTGAGATGGAGTCTCACTCTGTTGCCCAGGCTAGAGCACAGTAGCATGATCTCGGCTCACTGCAACCTCTGACTCCCAGGTTCAAGCCCTTTTGGTGCCTCAGCCTCCTGTGTAGCTGGGATTACAGGCACGCACCACCACACTTAGCTAAAGATTTTGTATTTTTAGTAGAGTCAGGGTTTCATCATGTTGACAAGGCTGGTCTTGAACTCCTGACCTCAGGTGATCCACCCGCCTTGTCCTCCGAAAGTGCAGGGATTATAGGCTTAAGCCACCACGCCTGGCCTTGATTTTCCAATATTAAATGAACTCTTCGCTCCTGAAGAGTTGGTATTAGGAGATTAGGATAGAGGGATCTAGGTCCCCAGAACATGGTGGGTCTGGTTCCCCAGTAAAACCCAGCTTTGGGCTTGGTCATCCGGTAGAGGGAGGGAGGAGACAGATCAAGGGTGGGGAGAGGGCTGATGTCCAGACACCGCAGCCTCTGCCGTGAACCCTGAGTAGCTCAGGTGAGTCAGCCCAGGTGTGTCTTAGGCCAAGGTCACGCAGAAGATGGCTTCCCACAGCAGGTGCAGGTGGGGCGGGCTCTGCTGCCTCACTTTCTTGCCTGGGGAGGCACCCAGGGCTCATCGTGGGATTAGCATGCAGACCTGCAGCTCAGCCTCATGCCTTATTCTCTGCATCTGGGAAGCGGAGCTGGTGCTGGGGAGGGAAGAGCTCAGGCATCGAGGAAAGCTGAAGGATCGGCAGCCCCGCTCAGACCTGGTTGGAATTGCACTTCCCTTCTCTGTAAAATGGAGGTAATCATTGCCTTCCTTTCCGGGCTGCCATATGACATGAGCCAAT